CAGAGCCGGACTGCGAAAGCTGAGTCCTGACCCAGGAGATTTAACCCTGTGTGGGGAGCGCTGGAGCCAGGGAGAAGGGAAAGTCCTACCGGGAGAAACGTGGCCCCCAAGTTTACTGGGGACGTTTCGCTGAAGGCCAGTTTGTAATCGGATTAATTCCCCACCCTTGTCCACAAAATAGTAATAAAGGCAATATTTTAAATAATCGTTACTGGGCCAAAATTCCCGCCTCCTGGAGAGGACTTGAAGGGACAGGTCGACTGGCAAGAGGAGAAAGGAGAGGCAGCAGGGTTTCAGAGCTGTGAAATCTCCGCACATCGTCCTCATCCCTCTCTCGCTTTGCACGGGACTGTCTTTACTCCGCTTCGTCCCCGAACAGGAGCCTCCCCAGGATCGATAGAGGTGGGGAAGGGGCAGGGCTGGGTAATTAAATGCCGGTGCCCGGTTAATTGCTGTAATTTGACGCTAACTGTACACCGCGGGCAGGCGCTGGGAGCGGCGGTGCGAAGCGCGACCCGCACGGCCCATTGACCGCGCCCCGCCCCGCCGCCGCGCAGTAGCCGCCGATCCCCGCCGAGGGGGCCTGGTCCCCGCCAACCCCGTATCGCTGGGGCGGTGCATCAGAAGCGGAGCCCCCCCAGGAGCCGACAATTCAACTACCCGCGGCCCCGGCACTCCCCCGGTGCCGAATGGCTGCGGGTGCAGGCTCTCGCTTTCCTCTTCCCACCTGCCTGGAGACAGGGTTGGAACTTCCTTCTGTAAGGTCCTTATTCCCAGGCTCTTAGGGGCAAGGGGGTGCGTTCCCCTTCCTTCTACTGGAGACTGGGACCGGTCCAGGACCTAACCCAATACAATGCGCCTCGACATTCAGGAAGCCTCAAACTGTCCCATTCCTGGGACATGATGCCCCGTTCACCTGTGTCTGAAATGCAAAGAGCTTGCTGTGCAACTGTGAAGTGGAAATTGTTTGCATCGTTCCCCAAAATCCTGTAGTTGGAGTACTGCTTTCCCCCAAGTCCCCAGAGCCCAGTCCCTTGGAGATGAGGCAAGGGCTTCCTGTCTTTTTCGGAGTGTGAAATCAGCGTTACACCCTGGCGACTTTCCAGGGCACTTCGGCACTTGAATCCCCGAGGGGGAAAAAAAAAAACCAAACTAAAACATGGGCGAGGACAAGGGGTGCGGACACGGAGAGGTCCAAGGGCCACAGGCTATCGCAGGCCAGCTTCCCCCGGGGGAACGCAGCATCCCTCACACCCCACCGTTCCCGCGCAGCCCAGAGCCCGGCCAGCCAGGTACTGCAGCACCCCGGCCGCTGCCACCCGCCCTCTCTCGGCCAGCGTACAGGGGTCTGAGAAGACCATCTGCACCGGAGGGTGTCTTTGTTTCTCCCTGGACTCCTCAGGCTATTTGCAGTGCCTCCATCACCGAGTTGGGCTAGTTCAGCCCCCCTGCGGTGCTTTCTCTTTTTGGGCTACTGTTATTGTTATTATAATTATTATTATAATTATTATTACTACTACTACGTGCACGCACTCCCTGACATCTTGCCCCCGAGGTAACCTACCCGGGGAAAGGTGAAGATGGGGGGCTCACCCGCCCCCCCCCCCCGGCCGCGGCCGGGCACCCGGTCTCCCTGCACGGGGTTGAGGGAGTAAGACGGTAGCGAAGCGGGCACGGGTCCAGCGGCTGCAGGACGCCCGGGCCATGGCCAGGAGCCCCTCGGGGGTCCGCTGGCGGTGCCCCCCGGGAGCGGCGGGTCCGGGCGGGAGCCGTGGGAGCGCGGTGTCGGGGGGCAGCGCGCAGGCAGCGCGGAGGCAGCGCGCAGGCGCGGGCAGGGAGCACCCAGCTCTTTATGGCCAGGTAAGAGAGTCCCGGCGCAGGTAAGGGGAGGATTTACCCACAGGCGCCCCGGGCGAGTGGCTTGCCTTCGCAGTCCATGACCAGCAGGGACCTGGGGACTAGGAGCCCGCAGTCAGGATGTCTATCCTTGCCAAAATGGGGGACTGGCAGGTAAGGCGACCCCCTGCCCCGGGGGCGTTTATTGTCATTTTGGGAAGCAAGGCTGGAGCGAGAAAGGTGACTGGCCCGGAGGGAGTGGGGGCAAGCCTGACGCCGGGGTTGGGCATTTTGCGGCTCCCGGTGCTTGGGGCTGCCCGCGGCCACTGGTGAGGCCCGACTGCAACAGGTAGAGAGAGGTGGACCGGGGTCGAGAGGGGCGAGGGCTGCTCCGCCGCCGCCGTGGGTGTCACAACCCCAGCGTGAGCTGCCCGGCAGCGTGGGCCGGCCAAGGGTGGCGTGTGCCCGCCCGCCGTCCCTGTGTCCGGGGCTGGCGGCGGCCGCGGAGCCCTGGGGCCACGGAGCGTGGCGGGTCCCCACGAGAGGCAGGGCCCGCGCCCGCCGCCGTGACCCGGGGCCGCGCGGTGCGGGCCCGCCGCGCATCGGGGACGTGCCGCGGGGGCTGCAACGTCGCTGAGAGGTCCCACTCGAGCCCGTCCCGTGGTAAAATAACGCTGCCGGATCCCACCAGGCGGTAGACATGCCGGGAGCGCCCCTGGAAAGCACTCCCGCTCGGATAAGCTGAAGGGAAAAGCAGAACCCACCAGCGAAAGAGGTCGGATGGGGAACACGCGGCCCGTCGAGGCCTCGCCCGGCCCCACGGTCCCGAGGGGACCCACCCGCACCACGGGCGAGATGGCACGTGTGAAGTTACAGAGGTTCTCAAACCGGGAGAAACTTGAAAAACCCTGGAGCACCCTAATGCCCGTCCAGATGGCCGCGGTTCGCCGGCGAATAAAAGGGAAGACGAATCGTTCTGTTTAAGTACTCGGGATTTTCTTAGCGGAAAGGATTTTTTTCTTTTTTATTTATTCCCCGGCACAGTCTAGTCCACTTCCAAACGGGAGCCTAGTTTCTTTTTCTGCCCTCAGCTTCTCAAATCGCTCGACTGTCTTTCTCCAGACTGCCTTATTTAATTTTTTTTTCTTCAGGGTAGCAGCAAGTCGTCTAAAAAAGAAAAAAAAAAAAAGATGTGGGGGACGACACGACAAAATGCAGTAAAGAAAAATATATTTTAAACTATTTAAATTATTTTTACAGTTAGAGATGACATTTTCTTATCAAACCGGTGCGAAAAAGCGATCAAAAGAGGATTTTCTTTCTTTCACTGAAGTCAACTCTTGTGCAATCGTATTTACGGGTTATCTGCCTTGATATCTGTTCCCGACTTTTCCTTACACCCCGGCCCTCCTTGCTCCCTCTCCCCGGCGCTGCGGGGCCCTCTTGGCCGTGCCTGGCCGGAGGGGCCGGGCCGCGCGGACTCGCCTCCAGCTGCCCCGTGTGCGTCTCTCGGGGAAAGCCGCCCCCTCCCCTCGTAAGCCTGCACCCTACCGACCTGGGCCTAGGGAGAGGAAGTACAAGGGTTAGGCCTTTGGCCCACGGGAGTCCCGGGCGGCCGCGGGTGGGAGTTTGTTCCGGGTGGGAAGCTTTCCCGACGGGCCTGGTTCCAACAGGACGGCGCTAAGGGGCGATGGGCCCCTTCGTCATACTCCTCTCCTCCTCTTTTTCTCATCTCTTCCCCCCACACACACTCCCCCCCGGGCATTAACTAGGCTTAATCTGCCAGCTCTGTTTGAACCTCAATGGGAGTAAAACCAACAATTTACTCTCCTGCCAGTGTCAGACAAAAGCGCTGCTGAAAAAGAGCATCGGGGGTGGGGGTATGGTGGAGGAGGAGGGAAGGGGAAGGAAAAAAAAAATCCGTTTTGGGGACACAGATATGTATTTGCGTGAAGAAGCAGTCTCGGAAGCCCTGGGGCTTTGCCACCCTTCCCGATGTGGGGAGGCGTGTGCAGGGACCCCCGAGGGCCCACTGCGGCTACCCCGCGGAGTGCAGGGGCCGTTTGCTCCTGGAGGCAGTACATTTTCCTCCGACGTCGGGGGGTGGCCCTGGGAGGGTCTTCCAAGCCGACAGGGCAGGTTTTGCCATTGGCAAAAGAAGTTTCGGGGAGCAGCAGGGCAGCCAGGTGCACGGGCAGCCATGGGAATGCCCCGCTCCTGGGGACGCCTGGGGGCACGGCTAGCGCGGGGAGCTGCGCCAGGCCTGACACGCCAGCCCCACGGAGAGGGGAATGCCTTGCCCTTCGGAGCAGCGCGGAATCACCCGGAGGGGAAAAGGGAAAAAAAAAAAAAAAGAAGCAAAACGAAGCCTTTCGGTGGATGGATCAAGGTTGGGCACCCGGAGAAATAAAAGAGGAGAGGGGTGGAGAAGCAGCCCCCCAGGAGGGTAGACTGAGAGCTCGCTTAGCGGCACAGTGTTAAGCAAAAGAAGCGCTCCACCTAAGAAAGTGCCAAAGTTTTATTGTGGTCATTGTTTCATCCCTTTGCTCAAGTGCTTGCAAAAGATTTTTTTGCTCCTGCTTCATTCACTTTACCGCTCGCCCACTTTTATCTGGGAGGTTATGCTGGATTTGTTTGGGGTGGTGTTTTTTTGAAGACATATAGACAACAGAGCCGAGAAGAAAAAAAAAATAGTTTGGGAAGGAAAGAAGCTTTTCAAATGTCCACCAAAAAAGATCAAATCAAATCCAGAGGGCAACAAAAGCCTCCGCAGACAATAACTTCGTTCGAGCAAGACTCGAGTCTCGTTTCTGCTTGCTTTGGTTTCTTTAACCTCCATGAAAAAAAAAAAAAAGGGGGTGAGGAAGGAGAGGTAAATCCCATGGGGTGGCTTCATGGCTAGTTCCAAACTCTCTGCAGATGAAGGGACGGTCGCCTCTTTGATTTCGCTGGCCACTTCCCTGCTGGTAGGTAGAGGCACGAGGGGAGCGGCGGCCCGCAGGCAGGCAGGCAGGGCCCTCTGGCCCCCGCACCAGGGCTCGGCAGGTCGGAGAAAGCTTTTTTTTTCACTGTTAATTTATTATTTTTTTTTCTTGCTCGTGGGTCCTTTCTACCTGTGTCCATCGCTGCAGGTTGTTGTGCTGGCGAGCAATTGGGCTGTTGTTGATATGCTAATGAGGCGATTAGACTGTGGGTAAAGAGCTGGAAAAGGAAAAACTTTCCACCATTAGAGGGAGATCTCCGAGCGCGGACGGGAGCCAGCCTCCGCCAGCCGCGCTCCCCACGCCGCCCGGCACCGCCACCGTAGGGAGAGGCAAGGCAGGGAGAACCAAATCCTCTCTCTCACGCCAATCCATGAAAATGCTTTGGAAACTGACGGATAATATCAAGTATGAGGAATGTGAGGTAAGCTCTTCCCCCGGGCCCGGGCAGAGCCCAGGCCCCGCAGCTGCGAGCGGGAGCCTTCAGCATCCCTCCGTCTCAATTTCGTTTAGGAAAACTTCTGCTCCGTCGTCAGGCTTCCTTGCGGTCCTGCAGCCGGAGAGGGGCTGGGGTCCTTCCCCAGGAACTTCGGGGCTTGTGGAAACCCGGCTTTGTCGGAAGTGTATGAGGAAGGGCAAACAGGATCCAAGCAGCAGCCTGGTCTATAGGTAGATAAGGCTCTTGTAGGATGCTACACTCATCCATATGGATGGATGGATAGATGGATGGATAGGTGGCTGGCTGAATGAACGGATGGATGAATGAATGAAAGGGCAAAGAGACAAAGGGAAGAGAATTATTCTTACACTATAGGTACCCGAGGCATCCCAGTAAATTGGCTCAGGACCGAAGCTTAAATTCAGCCTTTTCGATGTAGCTGCGGGTTGATTATACCGAGCTGCACAAATTTGCACGGGTCAGCTGCCGAACTGAAATCATGGGTTTGGGAGCGGTGTTCCCCCAGTCTCCTAATTCTCAGGGTCACATTCCCGGGGGCTTGAGAAATAATATTTTAGCCGCTTGGGAAAAAAAAAATAATTCACATCATTTTGTTTTGGAGCCTTTCAGCACAGATTGTGTGCGCACATCTCTCTATGTGTCTGTGTGTGCACATCTCTCTATGTGTCTATGTGTGCATCCATATTTTTAGAAAGAGGAGAATGTCTTTTAATCGGACATAAAGGAGAAGAAGAGGAAAAAGAAGAACGATGCCCAGGACCCATGCCTAGTCTTAAACCAACGAATACTATTGTCACCCTTTTCGAGAAAGTTGACTGTGCTGTGTGTTCAAACCGCGCAATAAAGGACCCTACTTTGCAAAAGAACGCTGTTATTTGGTCGTGACCCACGCGGGAAGATCCCCCAAGCCTCGGCGGAGCCTTGCCGACAAGCACCTCTGGGTCGAAGGGGGCACTCTCCCGTCCAACCCTGCTGCTGTTTTGGGCGATGCTGTAGCTTGGGAAAGAAATTGAGGATTCGCCAGGCTCAGCGCCGACTAAGTGTTTTGGTGATCAAGTCTCGGATCGAGGACTTTGGGATGAAGCTGTCTCCCGATGCGGGAGCTGAGCTTTTAGATCCACTCGCTGGCGGGTGCTTGATTTCTAGGAATGAGATGTCAGGGGTATTGGGGTTTGTGGTTTTTTGTTTGTTTGTTGGGGGTTTTTCTTTTAACCCGGAAAACAAACATATATGTTCCTCAGTTGCATTTCGGATGGAAAGCGTGTCTCTTCCCCCTCCCTTCCCTCAGGATCGGTGTTCCAGTGTGCACACGTGTGAGCGTGTGGATTTCATCGCAAATGGCTTTTGTTGCCTTGCGTTAATGGGACTTCACACCAAGGTGTTGCCAAACACGGAGCAGCGGCCGCTCCGCCGAGCCCCCTGGCTTTTGTGCGTACGTGTGGGGTTGGTACTCCGTGTTTTCCTCTGGAGAGGGTGTGATGTGACTTCTAGAGAGGATGAAAAAGGGTGATTGTGTCGTGCCGGGGGTAGGACCTGGCTTAAAATATATTAAAAAAAAAAAAAAAAGAGAGAGAAGAAGAAAGAAAAAAAAACCCAAGTCAAATAAAACCAGAAAGGAGGCATGAAAGCCCAGCCAGTCGCGCTCAGCGCCCGGGGCGGCCGGAGCGCCGGGGGGCCGGGGCGGGCGGGCGGAGCGTGGGGCCGGGCGCCGGCGGAGCGGCGGCTGCGGCGGGGCAGCGGCGGCGAGCGGAACGGTGCCTGTTTAAGGGAGTTGTTTGGGAGTTGCACAGCCAGTCCAACGGGTTGCGCCGGAGCCCCGGCTTGTCTGGGCCGCGAGAAGCGCTCGCCTTGCCTCTTTTCCCTGCTCTCTCCCCCCCGCGTGCCTCCCGCCCTCCTTCCCTCCCCGCCTCACCGCCTCCTGCCTTTTTCCCCCGTCTTTTCCCGGATCCTCCGAGAGGGGGGCCGCGGGGAGCCCGGCGGATGCTCCTTGGGCTCCCCAGCCCCCCTGTCCCGGGCTCCCACCGGCCTCGGCGTTGGGCTCGAACCGGAGGAGGAGGAGGAAGAGGAGGAGGAGGGCTGACACCCAGAGGGGGAGACACCCAAAAAAACTTTCCCAGCCGGTTTCCGGGACGCGGGGCACGGAGGCGAGCCGGCTCGGCGGCGCGGGGCGGCCGCCGCGGGGGCAGCGGCGAGGGGAGCCCCTTGGTGGGGCGCCGTCGAGGCATGGACGGGGCGGCGGCGACGGGAGGTCCCGCGGAGCCCACCCCGCGCAAAGGCGGCGGCGGTGCGGCCGAGGGCGGCAAGAGCCAAGCGGGAAGCCAGCAGCCGCTCTTCTCCCTGGGCTTTGAGGCCGGCTACGCGCAGCAGGCGCAGCCCGAGGTGCGCCCGCGAAGGACCGCGGGGCTGGGAACATGGGGAGGCGGCAGCCGGGGGGGAAGGGAGGGGAAGGGAAGCGAAGCGAAGGGAAGGTGAGGAAGGAAGGGGGGATCCCGCGCCCCCTCCCCTCTCTCATTCTGCCCGTCTCTCCCACTCTCCCCCCCCCCTTCTACACCCCCCTCCTGGCTCCCACCCTCTCCCTCTCTCCGGATCTCTTTCTCTTTCACTTTTGCATGCCCTGCAACCTTTTAAAATGTTGCCCCTTTCCTGTGATTCGTCAGACGCAGCAGCATGTGCCCCCTCTCTCTCTCCCGCTCCCTCTCTCTCCCTTTTTGTCTCTCTCTCCCTCTCCCTCTCCCCCATCTCTGATTAGATACACTGATTCTTCATTCAATGGACGTCATTTAGAACAGGCTCTGCCTTGAGTTGCCTTCTCGCTTCACGCTCGATTTCCAGCCATTCTTCCCTTATTAAGTGTTCGTGTAATATTAATAGTCATGAATATCTGCTATTAGGAGTCTCCAGGAAGGCAGCAGATCTGTTATTAGGAGCTCAAGTGAAGCAGCAGCTAAGTCAAAGGAGAAAAAGAAAGAGACAGAGGAAAAAAAAAGGATTAAGAAACAAACACACACACGCTAAAAACAAAACAAAAAGGAAAAAAAAGGCGCAAAACAAAAAAAAAAAAAAAGGAAAAAGAAAGCAACCAACTTTGAC